ATAGTTAGTATCGATGGAATTATGAGTTATCCCAAAATTGTTACTTATGTTGTTCCGCAAGGAACGGTTCTAGGACCAATCCTGTTCACAATATATTTGAATGAGCTATTGCAGATACCAACAAAAGCTAAAATTTTGGGCTTTGCTGACGATACGGCTGTCTTGTATACCGACTCTTCATGGAACCAATTGAAAATGTCTGCAGAAAAAGATTTCTATAGTAAAGTTTTCACGGATAGGAATATGCTGAACTGGTTTTCCGGGTATTTGATCCGTGTATGTGATATTATCTCTAATTTCACCGACGTTTCGACAAAACTTCAGCTTAAAATAATAACGAACGAAAAATATTAATATCATTGTGAAAAAAGCGTGGGCGCTTTGTGACATATTTTGTTTATATCATGCACCCGTCACTTTTTTTACAATAATCCTAGTATTTTTCGTTCGTTATTGTTTTAAGCTTACTTAAAAAATATATTTTTAACTTTTTAGTTCGAAGTTTAGTTCGAAACTATATTTAATACTAAGTGTTTTTTCCAGAGCTTCCATATCACAGGCATATTCGGACTGTTCAAAAACCTACGAAAGTATTGTTCACTTTGAATACGTTTGATGTTTCTCATTGAACATTATTTTTTCATGTCTGATATTTCGTGTTGTACAGATTTCTACATATATTATCTGTCCATTTCCATTCATTTTTATTTAATTTTAATATGTGATCTAACTAGTCGCTATGCTTTCTCCATATTATTGATTATCCAGAACGGAGATTTATTCAACAAACCAAAATACTATAATTTGTGATTAAATACCGAACAGCTACGTTTCGACCCGCCAAGGTTTAATCAGTGGTGATAGACTGACCCCTGAACTGTCCTGTTAGTGAAGGCCATCATATCTGTCTCTACGTCATCTCTCCGTCATCTATGGGAGCGCAGAGGAGTATCCTAACTTTCTCTTGATTATTTCTTCTTAAACAGCACGTTGAAATTGACAACATATTTTTTTTAATATAAATACTTGTTCACAAAAAAAATTGAAGCTTCAATAATTTTCTAATTATTAAATGCCAGCGCCTTCGATAGCAGACTGTGTTATCTTCGTGGCAATGATCAAACTGAAAATTATATCTTCTTGTTTGTTTTTTTTACGGTTAGATCCCATTATTGAATTTATTGATGCTTCATTAATCAGAGTTTGGGCAGGTATTTGTACTCCCCTTTCTTCGGGATATCTCATTAAATTCGCCTGTACTTGAGTTACAGATTAGGTTTTGTTGTATTTTGATTTATATCTGTTTTTCTATAAGTGAATTACGGCTTTGGAATTTATGAATGTTAGGTTTTCCCAGATGTTCATACGATTTCCTTTATTGACTTGTTTTATGAGTTTGATATTTTCTGGTGAGGGAAAGTTATGTTTGTTTTGTATGGCGTGTCTGGCGAGGTTTGATTTATATGTTAATGGGTTTTTGAATGTTTTTGTCCTCGTCGTACCTTTGGATCAGTTTTTTCAACAAATGCCTACCCTAACAGAACATAATTTGTTTTGGTTATCATTCTGGAGTTTTCATAAAAAGCCCTGTATTTGAAGAAAGTGGATGTGACACTAACAATAGGTCGGAATGTTGAGTTGCCCTGTAGTTATTATTATTCCACTTCTTCGTCCATTTCCTGTATAATTGACGCCTTAAGTTATGGTTATTATTTGAATGTATATATGTATACACTCAATGTTCCTGCAAAGAAGGTAGAAATGATATAACAGCATTATAGAAATGATAAGTGGGAAAATAAACCAGTCTCTTTTCAAAATCCATTTCAAACACATATGAAAACATTTCTACGCGAAAGATTATGCGGAACAATATATACCTCAAAGAATTGGCCCATTATGACGAAGTAAAAACAGCAAAACATGTCAAGAATGGTCTTTTTGACATTGATATCCAAAGATTATGAATGTCAAATGAGAGGGAAGATTCCTCATCTGATCAGCATGTATTTTGAATACTCAGTACTTGTGGAAGTTAGTAGTGGGTACTTCAAAATTATGAAGTAGTAAACAAAAAATTACCGGCTAGATAATAGGAAGAAACCGAAGACAGTTTTCAGTTTGAACTTCTAAGAACGGAACATAAAAACTACAGGAAAATCTTCAATTTGTTCTAAAAGCGGTTCCTGTGCGAAAGTGGCGATTCACATTAAATATGAATCGCTGGAGATCAAATACATTTGGAAAAAACATTCTCATAGAGTGTATTTCCAGTTCTCCAAATGAAAGACTTCTCAAACAGTGTTCGAGGGGTACTGAGTTGAACCTCAAAATGATGAGCAGCCACAGTCCATCGCGTATTTCTGATATGTACCGCTCTCGGTAGAATCTAATATGCCGAGTTACTTGGCACATTTGATGTTCTAGACCATCGAGGTTACCAGTGATCTTCGCATCTCCAATCAGGTTGATGGCTCTTTTCTGGATGGAATCCAGTAGCTTAAGGGTATGCTTAGGGACAAAGCCCCATATATGAGAATACTATCCCAAAGAAGGTCTGATCTGAGCTTTATAAAGCATCAAAACTTGCTGAGGTGTGTACTGTTTTCTGATTCGGAACAGGGTTCCAAGCTTTTGAAAAGCGGCTTTTGCAATTCTAGCGATATGCTTGTGCAAAAAAATATTGGTGTCCATTTTAGCGTCAAGCAAACTTATCGAAGCAGAAAGCGGATCGTCTGTCATCACATCAGTATTTCCCGTTCGGTAACATTTATCTTTTTATTTAAAATCTATGCCTGAGTTTTTGTGGTAATGAATTGAACCTGGTTAGTTTCACCACAATTCGAAATCACTTCTGGATCATCATTAGGATATGCAACCTCCTGCTGTCGGTGAAGATGTGCATCCGCAGGGTAGCCATCGGAATTCACCAAATCTACCAATTTCAACATAGTGAAGAGAACACAGAGTGAACTCTTTCAACCAGTTTCAATTGATGGTAAAATAACATTATTGAAAGATTCATCAGTGAAACCCCGCTTGAAAATCAACTAGTCGAAAGTAATTACGATCATCTGCAGGAAAAGCTGTATTCAACTACTGGAGATGCCACTCACTCATTTGGCCAGAGAGTTTATAAATTGACAGTCAGAAAAACGGTTGACAATACCGAGAAATGACATTTCGGGTATGATTCATGAACATGAAGAAATCTACTCACATACGTATAGTTTATGTATCGAATCGAACACAAGCATTTGCTTTATTTCTACTAATATATCTTCTAATGTAGATACTTCGAAACCCACTATTCCCTAAAGAGGTCAGAAAAACACATTCAGTTTCCTGCACCCTTCAGTCAGAAGATATTTCTCCTCATGATCAAAAGCTCCAGGGAAACAGAATACATTTCTCAATTCACTTATTCCCAAATCAAATTGACCGCTTAACACAAAGCAGTAATTTATCTACTACTACCTCCAAAGTTCAACCGAGAATAAACATGGTTTGGAAACACACATGATTAATCGCTCCCATTCACCACTCAATCTATAGCTTCGGGGTTGAACCTTGATTTAGTTTAGGAAAGTTCTCCCAGTTGTTGATTGAGTATTGTTGAAAGTTGATCTGTATATTGCGCAGTGTACATATCTGAGAGACTTTTGAACAGCGATCATGTTTCTAAATTACACCATAATGTATAAACTGAGGGATACGAGTATTTTACTCAAAAAAGTTTGCAGTGGAGTGAAACACGCAAAGTGTTTTGCATTTTTTCGATAAGGGTGGTTAACACAAATATGTGATTAATAATAAAGTTTCTAAATGCCATTATCTGGGTAAAGTATTTGAACGCTTGCATAAACTTCCTGGTGTTACATTTTGTATACATACCTCATGATGATATTCCGCATTGTATAAACTTGAAATAACCTGATGCATAGTCACGTTCCAAAAAATGCGTATTATTTATGATCGTAATTTTGAAAATGATGAACAACGTCATAATATAACATCACGAAAACATGCATTCGAATGTATACAAACATACAGGTGGTTCCGAGCCAAAAACGGACGTGTAACGAAAATTTCAAAGAACACATTAATCTTTATTACCAGGGGGACTAATTCAGACATGGAAATCATACCCCTTGCGGTCAGCAGCTACCACCCCTATTTATTTCAATGGCAATGAACCTTTTTCGTGAAGTACGAAAAATCACTCACTAGCAGCGCTAGTAGTTCGGTAGGGACAAACACTGCCTAAATCCTCATGTAAACATATGGTAAAGTACAATCAAAAAAGGATGTTTCAACAGGAGAGGATGTTCCTAGAGCAAAACTGAAATTTGCAACTGTAAAAGATAACAATTTTGTAACATTAGAACGTTGGCTTGCATGAGGTAATATAAAAGTAACTGAAAAAAAAGTGAATTAATAGACAGGTTAGTATACAGACCCTAGTAAAAGAGTAGCGAATAACACTGTTTTACATGCGAATAGTTTATATTTGTCCTTACTACTAGTGTTGCTTCTCGTGATACGTGCGCTATACTATTCTCAGGAAGAAGTCTTATTGGTTCATTCGTTACTGAGAAATTAGAGGAGAGTCTCCTAATATGGGGTACTTTTTTTGCAAAACACCATAATGAAAAATTTAAAGAAATCTAGCATTCAATAAGAAAAAACATTTTTTTAAGAAAATCAGATGAAAATATGCAGAAAAAAAAAGTGCACTACCCCATATTAGAGGCATATAATATCCTAATATGGGGTACCTAATTTAATATGTGAAATTTGAAAATAAGTAAAATTATTTTGTTTTTTTTGTGAAATATTCATTTATGGAAATTCAAAAAGTATATCTAATGAAAAGTTTCGTCCTTTATGAACGCCTAGGTACGCCAAAATTTCTCAAAAAGTCAAATAGTTCCTAGGTCCTGACGACATCATATAGTAAATGAGGCAAAACATTAACATTTGTAAAAATATCAACAGCATCAATATTCAGAGTATAAAATTCTTTATCGATCAGTAAATAATACAAAACAATAGAATAAATATGGAGATATGGAGCCAAACGAGCACATTAAAATTTCATAAACTATACACCTTATGATTTGATCTCCACAAACTTCATTTGAATAAATATATCACATGTTTTGCTAATACAGTAGCTTTCTCGTAGTGAACTGAGTACTTGATGATGGTGTTCCACATGTACTCAAAACGTCATTTTGTATAACTGATAACTTTACATTTACTCTTTTTCTGATAGTACTAACTCAGCAGCTTGAAGAATGTGATGAGATTTGCGATAATACAAATGGTATTTGGTTCATCATTCATTTCAATCCTGAGGAAAAGTATACCTAAAATTCAAAGTAAAAACGTCTTTTAGATGGCAATTATCTAATAGTTCATCTTTCTTACATTTCAGAAATAATTTGACATAACGTTATTTTGAATTGCTGACAACTTTTGTCATGGAAAAAATGTCACGACAGAAATGTAACAATTCAGAAAAAAAATCTAAAAATCATAATGTTATACCCATTTCAATATATTCATACGTTTTTCTTGTATTTCCACCTCTGTGCAGATTCTTATTGATAAATACTGTACTTCATTGCAGAACACCGCTTTGAATTCCAATAACAATTTTTATTATTTGATTTTTCAGAGGGCTTGAACTCCGAACCAATGTTCGACTCTTATCAGCCTGCATCTAGAATTCCTATGCATTCGCAGTTGAAGTCAGAATGAACTGGCATTTTCATTATCAACCACATTTTTGATTATCTATACATTTTATAAAATTTTTCGAAACATAAAACTAAACTGATACTTTTCAAATCATGAATTGTTCTGCTACTGTCTCTATAATTCTGAAACCATCTTTGTTACAGGTATGAAGCCAAGAATGAAAAACCATTTCCGAGCTCATCAACTTAGCGTCTGGCTCAGGCTGATCCCAGAACTCCATCGCGCTGGAATGGAAGACGTCGTAGCCAGACACAACCTCTTCAGAAACCACAACAACGCCGATTTATATGATGGTGCCGTCCGACCTGATCCACTTTCCCGAGTGAGCTACTACGACCCTACCATGGAACTTGTTAGAAGGAGACCGAACGCCAGTTTAGCCACTTTAGAAGTCCCGACAACCATAGAAACCATGGTCACCACGTGTGTTAATGTGGTATCTTCTGGAAATTACAACCACCAGTTGTTCCAGAACCAAAACAACGCAAGCGATACCTTGGCTAGCTTGGAAGCAGCAGGGTACGCAGCTTATAGTACTGCTCTGAGTGTCACCATAGCTATTGGCTGTTCCCTTTTGATACTGAACGTGCTAATTTTCGCTGGTGTTTATTACCAGAGAGATAAAACTCGAATGGAAGTGAAAAACCTGCAGCAACAGCAAAACAGAAACCAAGCCACTTTCGAAACCATCTCCAAGCACCAGCACTACCACTTGGGACACTCCCAGAGCTCCAACGTCATCGTAGACGTGGAGCAGGACACTTCAGCGATGATACTAGCAGCGAACGCACAACAAGACGCTCACTTGAACAAAGTTCAACACCAACACCTCTGCCCTACTAGCATATCCAATCAGCTCAAAGCACCACCTCCCAGCCCAAACGTCATACTTCAGAACTGCATGACGCTGCCAAAAAACGCTTCCATGCACAACTATCAGTCGAATCAGAATAGCCAGGGTTGTATGACGCTTCCGAAGAACGCCAGCTTGATGAACAACACAGCCTGCGTCATAGCGGAGATGCAGCAGCAAGGCTACGTGCAGCCTCCTAATGGTAACGCCACAATGCCGCTTTGCGTGCCCAAGCCACCTCCACCACCCAGGGCGCGGAGTCCTGAGAGCCAGCCCTTATTGTCTTCGCATCATAATAATGCGGGTAAAAGTGCCATGAGAGTGCCACACGCGGCGATGAGTGAAATGAGGGTGTGATATAACTAAGTGCTGTGAACTGCGTGCTCAAAGTGACATATATTCGTCCGATAATCAGTGAATAGCGTGGATAGGAAAATTTGTTTTCTGATTTTGAATTGTAATGAGTTCTGAAACATTCGGCATGTTGTATTGATTTTTTTTTTGCATTCTTCTTGGTAAGAAAAACATATGTTGCCGTTTATAGTTACATACTCCACTCCAACCTGAACATCTGAATGAAAATATTTCTTCTATCGTTTCAATTTACGATCTGTGATTGAAAAATGTATGATGAGTATTTCAAAAGATGAAATTTTCTCGATTATTTCTTCAAAGCAACCATGGATCTACTTCTCAAATGAAGAAGATGAGCTGGTGTGATACTGTTGAGAGTATAACAATGATTGCTACATTTTGATTCTCAAAACATGAAATGAAATCGAATTGAGTGACAAATGGAACGATTTGGTCACCAAAAATCTAACTCAACTCCATTACAAATTCAATTATTTATATACAAAACTTTTTGTCATGTATCTTTACGTATGATATTTTTTTGAAAATTTGATGAGCTCAATTCATGGATTCAACTACTTTTTCAACTTTTTTCAAAATTTTTGTTAGAAAATATATTGACTTGAAGGAAACAACTAATTTTCTGCATTATTATTCTGTAATTATGCAATTCAATGTGATTCATGTAAAAAATGTAGCAATCAATGAAATGTTATAAAAGTTTTGCCTCAAAAGAATTTTGGAACTTGATAAATATAATTGAATAAACGTTACAATTTTCAATGGTACATTGCAGGTACTGAATACCACAGTTTTATCTTTGAAAATTCAGTTGAGTGCACGTTTTCGAAGACCTCACATAATAAATAGCAAGTGAATGAAAGAACTGAATTTTCCAAATAATCTCTGCAGGAATATTCTGAAATATGTTTTCCGGTATTTCTATTATTGAAAAAGGAACTTTTTCAACTCATTTAAATCCCCAGATAGAATAATAGGGTACATTGTTACACCTTTTGAGATAAATGGTTCACCTAAAAAATTTGTTATAAGTACATTATATCACAGAGAAAGATTTTTTTCGATATCAATTAACAAAACTTCTCAAACTTACTGGAGGAAAATATCTTTTTGAGACAACGATGTTAACACAAAAATTATAATAATAAACTATATTTTCGGTTTTTCTGATTATTTTGTCAAGTACATTTTTCAGTCAACAAAGAAATGATTGATGATTATAAAAATATTCATCCCACATTGTTCTGTGAACTGTGGAATATATAGAAATTGTTTGATTTTCGTCACCCAATATGCGAAGTTGAACGGTTTTAGAATATTATTTCAATTCAAAATCAAAATTCCTTTCTTGAATTAGGAAAATAATCTCCATTTTCATTATCATTGTTTCATTGGCCTATGATATGATCTAGTTTTTGTACATAATCCGAAATATCTCATGATTGTTCAGATGTATAAGTGTTCACTTCAGTAATTGTTTCATGAAGTAATTTCTGAAGTTTTTCGATAGAATCGATTGGGAAAAATGGAAAAATGGCGGGGTTTCTGAAATATGTTTCATAATGGGGACTCAAATGGGTCTCACTCTTGGTAGACATACAGATAACTATGGATGTAGCGGTTTCTGAAGCTTTTGAGTGTTTCAAAAGCATTACAAAAACTACATTTTCATATACTGAAATTGATTCGAATAACAGAAAATATAATATTTTTTACTCATGTATATTTCATCAATAATATATGTTTATGAATAAAAACGTTGATACTTGAATAAATAGTTAATGATTTTTTTCAAATTGAAATTTCAACCAAGTACGGAATTGCTGGCAGTAAAGGCATATTGATAATTTGATATGAATATCTGTGATATATGCATAAGGATGAATAATTTTTCCATGTTTTATGATCCTCAAAATTTTGTTATGAAACTATTATTCAAGGGATATGATTGAATATTTCATAAAACTAAACTATTCGAGATAATGACATTCAAAACTGATGGTGAATTTTAATATTTTGAGAATTCATATTGATCAAATAAGACACAACTTTTCAGTTTTACAGTTATTTTGTGACTACTCCAAAGTTATCTGATGTATCCATCTTGAATTAAGAAAAAACCCAGTGCTTGTACATATTTGAAAATATTTTTTTTTCATTTTGGTTTCACTGAGACGAATGATATTGGTGGAATTTTTGAAAATATGAAAATATTATTATCATTGAGCATAATGCAATTTTCTGAATGTTGAATGGAAATCAGTCAATATTAACTTTTTTCATTGAAAATTTCAATGTAAAGGAACTACTCGTGACTTGTGCTTGAATAAACTTTGATGCACTTTGTATCACTTTCAAAAATATGCTTGCCTCTACTCAAGTCTATTGTATTGGTTTGTAAAGTCGAATATTAGTATTTGCAAAGAATTGGACTATAGACCTGAATTATTTCTCAACATAAATGTGGTTATGAACGAAATCCTCAGCATTAATTTCAAAAATTCATACTTCAATATTGATTGTCCTATCAACTTATGAAACTGCCAGTATTATTCGTCGTTATTTTAGAATTACGAAATGATATCATCTGATGTAGGGTATTTTGTAATATATTCCTGATAAAACTTAATATTTTGCATTCTGTGCCAAAGATATCTTATGTGCGCCGAAGATTTATTTTCTCTTGTACAAAGTACGTTGAAAGACTTTAATCTAGTGTGAGAACACAAAGACAATCTTCTAAATCAATGATATATTAAAAAGTGTAGGTCCGTTTCAAATTTCAACGAAAAATTAGTACGACTAGGAAATTACTTGAAATTCATTCATATGCAGCGATTTAATAGGTTATGTATATACACATTTCGTTTTTCGGTGAATTTTGGAACAGTCATCTGTCATTGGAGTTGAAGTGAATCGACAGTGGTTTCTGTGGAGTTTTATATTGAAACTCCGTTTATGTACACTAGCCAAAACCACCGATTGAAACTATTTTTTTCCATGAACTTTAACAAATATTGAGTTTTCTTGGAATAATCGTGAATTATGAATATTGGTGAAGGATTCATTTTGTTATAAAAATCTTATATATTTTATGTCCATGATTATTTTACAGATTACTTTCATTCCAATGGCTGGTTTAAAGATGTTATAAATAATGTGACACATTAATTACTATTGAATGAATATACATTAAAATAAAATTTTGTTGTTTTATTCATATGATAAAACGTATATTCTATATGTCATACAACATTTTAACTGATATCGCTGACATTTTGACAATTTAAAAAAAATCAATCGATATTTCTTGAATTTGTTCCTAATAACAGTACCAATCATTCAGTGTTGACGGACTTCATCAGAAATTAACTGATACTAGTATTTGGATGAATATATTTTTGTAGTAATTCATATTGAATATAGAATAAAAAAAACTTTTGTCTGATTCCTAAAAATTTTTTATTTGTCACGACCGATTTCAGTTTGTTGAACCTTGATAGAATTTTCAAATTATCCAAAAATCACTTTCTCTCATTGAATCCAAACTAATTTAAGGCAATGCTGTTCGGGTGGCAAAATGACAGACTTCTTCACCAAAAAAAAATATTTGTCTTACTATCAATAACACTCCTGTACAGTTTTGTGATGTGGTGAAGAATCTTGAGCTCTGGATAGATTACTCCTTCCGATTCGAAAAGCATGTATCGGAATGCATTCGTGAAATTATCTGGAAACTGAAAATTTTGTTTGGATTTCGAGCAACTTTGAATTTGAATCTTAAAATAATACTTTAGGAATCTCTAGATTTTTTCTACCTTTACTTATTGCGATACGGTCTGTAGCTCTTGTCTTACGGCAACATCTACGCAAAAAATCCAGAAAATCCAAAACTATTGTCTTCAATTCATTAATGGTATTCGTAGGCGTCAACTTATCAGTAATATGAAATCTCGTCGAAAACTTCACTGCTCCACCTTATATCATAAAATAATTACTACCCAAACTTCCTCCTACATTCATAGAAGGATTGTGTTCCGCATTGATGTTCACGATTAATCCAGTCATTTAAGCTTAAATTAGGTAAGAATCTCGAAATTCGAGATACCCAGCTGTAAGTCTGTAAATACTTGTATATTGACACCCTAAAAGTTGTCTCAAAACCTACATATGGTAGGGTGTAAGAAACTACTAAATGTCAAGGTCGAAGGACACAAAAATCGGTTTTTTGCGCTTTTTTGGAAACATCTCATTCCTTATGGGTTTTTTGCTATTTGTATTTATTATCAATATTGTAGAATACAAAATTCTCTACAAATTTTGTTAAAAAATTTTTTATACGGTGAACCGTTTTCGAAATAGAGGGCGGAGAGCATCTGCATCTGTGCGGCTAAGATTTCTGCCTTAGTGCGGCAAGCCGGTATGATTTGAAGATTCGAGAGTAGAGAGGACATAATTCCACCAAGGACTGCAATAATCAGAACAATCATCTCGACAGATTGATCTGGATAGAGTCTGCGGAGTTCGAAGACAAAAACTTTTTTATTTTATCCGTTTTTCCTCCTCTTTTTCTCCTCTTATTATTATTACTATTTTTATTTGACACCGTAGTGTGCGCTGGTCAGGCCCTATCCCCCGAAGCTCCAATATATTCGGGAGGACGCGCCAGCATTATCAACCGATGGCAACTCCCCACACCGTGGGGTAAGTGATCATTGGGTCCGAGAATCATGTGACCTGAGCAAGCGCAGTGAGCCAAGAATGACAGCCTTCTGCATCTGTGCGGCTGAGATTTCTGCCTTAGTGCGGCAAGCCGATATGATTTTGAGATTGGGGAGTAGAGAGGACATCATTTCACCAAGGACTCCAATAATCAGAACAACCATCTTGACAGAGTGATCTGGATAGAGTCTGCGGAGTTCGAAGAGAAAATCTCGATATTTTATTCGTTCGTCTTCTCTGAAGATATTCATCTCGCCAGGTGCTGAAAACTCCACGACACATATCGTTTTGCTCTGGTGGTCAAGAAGGACTACATGAGGCTTATTAGCTTGTATGAGCATGAGGGTGGGAAATAAATAGTTTCAATAAATGCGGCACTTCTCGTTCCCCACAACGGATTCAATATCCCCCGGATAGTAGGGCAACACCGGTGTCTCGTCAATACCGTAAGACATCCGTATATAGTAATATAGAACTTTTAGGGCCGCGTTATGTCGATGGATATAGGCCGAGACCGCATATGCTGGACATGCTGATAGCAAGTGCATTAGGGTCTCGGGCGCCTCGCGACAGGCCCTGCGCCTTGTGTCAGGAACCTCTATACCCATCACGCGACTACATTAGACTGAGCAAGCCATGATGAACCCCTCAGCTCCTGACTTGAGCCCAATCGACCTGAGGAAAGTGAAAGTCAGGCGCTTTGATAAGCCAAGATCTTCAATGTTATTGAAGAAGACCCCATACATTGGCTCATCCTTGTGTCTCCATAGAAGTAAGGTGATCTCTGCGGCTTTTATCTGAGCTGTTTGCTAAACGGGTTTCAACTCGGTGACAGAGTTGTTATTATTTTTTTTTTTCACCGTAGTGTGCGCTGGTCAGGCCCTATCCCCTGAAGACCCGATACATTCTGGAGGGCGCGCCAGCATTATCAACCAATGACCACTCCCCACACCGTGGGGTAAGTGATCATTGGGTTCGAGAATCATGTGCCCTGAGTTAGCGCAGTGAGCCAAGAATGACAGCCTTTTGCATCTGTGCGGCTAATATTTCTGCCTTAGTGCGGCAAGCCGGTATAATTTTAAGATTCGGGAGTAGGGAGGACATCATTTCACCAAGGACTCCAATAATCAGAACAACCATCTTGACAGAGTGATCTGGATAGAGTCTGCGGAGTTCGAAGACAAAATCTCTTCAAAAATATTTTATCCGTTTTTCCTCCGTATTATTTTTATTAGTAAAGTAAATTGATGTATCACGACAAAAAAGTACATTGCTTCCAGCAAATTCATCTCCCTTTCTCTATTGCACGTATGAAGAATTTTTATGTTTTGACACAATGAATAAAGAAAACATGAAAATTCGCTATACGTGCTATAAAGGAAGGGAAATGAATTTGTTGGAAGCAATGGACATGAATATATTGTATGAAAACCCTAACTTCAAAACCCCCAATGGTCAACTATCTTTGAAATTTATGAATTTTGACAACTAGTTCAGGATCCATTGTTAGTTGGAGAAATCAAAAAGTAGGTTGGTGATCT